ACCCTTCTTATTTAAAGGAAAGTCTGGTCCGCAGGAATAATCAATGGATCCTTATTTACACCTAAAACTAATACGTTCGCTCTGATTTAATGAATTTAGTTTTAATAAGTACTAAAATATATATCATTTTCTTCACGATCACTGAGTCTGGGAGCGGCCATTTTTGCCCAAATATAGTAGCCCCTCCCTCCTGCCATCTTCCAGCAGTGACGTCACGGTGCGGTAAGCCTAGCGCCATTCTCCCCGCTTTCCAAGCTAAATCAATGGGAACTACTAGACACATCTGCAATCAACAACAATTATTGAAGATTTCCAGAGGACTTCACCATTGAAATTCACCAGAGCTGTAGTGAAACTGACAATGCCCACGTGCATGGCAGCTGGATGCTGGAATACATCGGGGAAAAGTGGAAAAAAAGAGTTATTCCACCTTTCTGATTCCTGATCCTCCACGGACGGGTTGGTCGTTGGATCGCCAACTTGAAGAGGGAGGATTTGCCATCGAACTTCTGGCCAGAGAAAAAACACGTCATTAATCCGATACTCTCTGATTCGCAAAGTGTGCTGGTCGTCGCCATCATGGATAATGGCGCGTTTTTTTCTACAGCGCCAGTTCACAATCATCTCAAGGCACTTTAGATCATCCAGTCAGATTGATTCAAAGTTTTCTATCTAAGGAAAACCAGCTGATTGCATCGACTCATTGACTCTTCAGCAATCCCTCACACTAAGCATGCTTGTAGCGACAGTGGAGAGGAAAAACTTCCAGCATCTTAAAGCCTGCTAGCTCACTGTGTTTCTGCGGAGGATGGAAGCAGAGATAACGGATAGTGTTTTCTCTGTAATTAGGAAAGTGTTTCAGGAGAAATGGCCTCTGATTGGTGACATGTCTGGGCTTGTCTCTGTCATGTCAAACATCAGGTGCTACGCCCACATTTTTAGCATTGTTGACTCATATCCGTACAAACAGCTGTTTCTAATAACTCTCCCTCTGTGACAGTGAAAGCACATATTGAGCAACCTTCATGTTTCACAGGAAGCCTCCTGCTGCCCGTGTCGTCACCACAGCTCACCAGTGTTCTGCTCAGCCAAATATTTACTTTACTCTGGGCACTTCCTGCCGTGCACAGATTCCTCACACTCATTACTGCGATTGAGCGGCTCATGGGTTTGCTGTGCAGAACAAATATTTTCATTGAGTAAGCGCTGAGAAATGAGAAGCATTAAAGGATAAAGTTCAGCAGAGCCTAAAACCAGTCACATGTTTTCAGAGGAATGAACCGGGCCTTATCACCGTGGGAATGAAAGCTCAGCAGGCGTCTGGTTCTGTGGGTTTACATGGAGCTCAAAGCTGAACGAATGGAGCTGCTGGTTAACTAGGTTAAAGGGATAGTTCGGTATTTTTGACATGAATCTGTATGGCATCCCCATCACCAGTGGCATGCAATCACACTGACTTACCCCTGGCAGCGTCCTGTGAGCAGAGTTATCGTCCAGCTTTGGTCAAGCCGAAAGTAGTCCGGCAGGTTTTTAGGACCAGCTCAGGGTCCCCTTCAGGTCCAGAACCCCAGAGCTCAGGGTCCCCTTCAGGTCCAGAACCCCAGAGCTCAGGGTCCCCTTCAGGTCCAGAACCCCAGAGCTCAGGGTCCCCTTAGGGTCCAGAACCCCAGAGCTCAGGGTCCCCTTCAGGACCAGAACCCCAGAGCTCAGGGTCCCCTTAGGGTCCAGAACCCCAGAGCTCAGGGTCCCCTTCAGGACCAGAACCCCAGAGCTCAGGGTCCCCTTCAGGACCAGAACCCCAGACCTCAGGGTCCCCTTCAGGACCAGAACCCCAGAGCTCAGGGTCCCCTTAGGGTCCAGAACCCCAGAGCTCAGGGTCCCCTTCAGGACCAGAACCCCAGAGCTCAGGGTCCCCTTCAGGACCAGAACCCCAGAGCTCAGGGTCCCCTTAGGGTCCAGAACCCCAGAGCTCAGGGTCCCCTTAGGGTCGAGAACCCCAGAGCTCAGGGTCCCCTTCAGGACCAGAACCCCAGAGCTCAGGGTCCCCTTCAGGACAAGAACCCCAGACCTCAGGGTCCCCTTCAGGTCCAGAACCCCAGAGCTCAGGGTCCCCTTAGGGGCCAGAACCCCAGAGCTCAGGGTCCCCTTCAGGTCCAGAACCCCAGAGCTCAGGGTCCCCTTAGGGTCCAGAACCCCAGAGCTCAGGGTCCCCTTAGGGTCCAGAACCCCAGAGCTCAGGGTCCCCTTCAGGACCAGAACCCCAGAGCTCAGGGTCCCCTTAGGGTCCAGAACCCCAGAGCTCAGGGTCCCCTTCAGGTCCAGAACCCCAGAGCTCAGGGTCCCCTTCAGGACCAGAACCCCAGAGCTCAGGGTCCCCTTAGGGTCCAGAACCCCAGAGCTCAGGGTCCCCTTCAGGTCCAGAACCCCAGAGCTCAGGGTCCCCTTAGGGTCCAGAACCCCAGAGCTCAGGGTCCCCTTCAGGTCCAGAACCCCAGAGCTCAGGGTCCCCTTAGGGTCCAGAACCCCAGAGCTCAGGGTCCCCTTCAGGTCCAGAACCCCAGAGCTCAGGGTCCCCTTCAGGACCAGAACCCCAGAGCTCAGGGTCCCCTTAGGGTCCAGAACCCCAGAGCTCAGGGTCCCCTTCAGGTCCAGAACCCCAGAGCTCAGGGTCCCCTTCAGGTCCAGAACCCCAGAGCTCAGGGTCCCCTTCAGGACCAGAACCCCAGAGCTCAGGGTCCCCTTAGGGTCCAGAACCCCAGAGCTCAGGGTCCCCTTCAGGTCCAGAACCCCAGAGCTCAGGGTCCCCTTCAGGTCCAGAACCCCAGAGCTCAGGGTCCCCTTCAGGTCCAGCTCCCCGCTGCGGTCAGACGGCGCAGAGAAAAGCAGAACTCTGTTTGGTCTCCTTAGCTGGAAGAAAGGAACAGTAGAGGAGGTGTTTCTACCAACCAGGAGATCAGAACTTTGTTCTCCTCCTTCCTCCTCTGCTCCTACAGAAGCTCATTTAGGGCCAAGCGGTCAGATGGACGTCCTCGTCTGTTGGGTCTGAGGCTTATCACGGAGCAGCACGCTCTCATCCTGTGGGGTGATAATGAAGATTGGTTTCCTCAGAACTCCCCTCAGCAGTGGACCCCCCCCCCCCCCCCCTATTGATCCCGTGTTTTTATTAAAGACGTTGACATTAGGAGGAGGGCAGCGATTGGCTGGAGGTTACATCAGTCTGTCTTAAAGGATCCAGCAGAACATCTCTGGTCTGAGTCTCACCTGGCTGCTAGACGCTGACATCACGGCATACTTTACGGTAATTATGGGCCGACTGGTTCTGCTGAATAATTCAGAGCGTTAATCAATGCGCTCTGATCTCATATTAGTTCTGATCCATCCCATAATGGCTTCTAATGGAATATCGTTCAGCCTTTAAAGCGTCCCAGGAGAGCCAAGCTTCGGTTGCTGCAGCGCCGAGCCGTAAGAAAGGTCCGAATCAGCTTCTATTAGTGCAAAACTTTCTGGAGCGGGCCAGACGGCGTGCTGTACGATACTCCGCAGAAAATCCAGTCCTGATCCAGAGTCTGCTACACCTGGGGGGTCCATGAAGACCTGGACGGACTGCTGACCCACATGGAGGTCTGACACTGGAACAGAACCATCAGAGCAACTGGAAAGATGGGAATAGATCCTGATCTGGACCGCTCCGTTTATCCGTCTCCATGGAGACCGTTTAGTAACCTCAGTTACTGCACAGAGGAGGTGATTTCATGGAGCGGAGGCCTCCTGGTCCAGAACCTTCAGTCAGGTTCTGACTCTCTGCTGGTTTTTGCTGAACAGCCAATCATGGATGATCATGACATGATGCCATAGAAATAAACTGCACTGAATTGAAACCACAGTACAGACCAATCTGTGTGTTATGGATCTATGGTCTGCTTCACTTTCACCATTTCTCAGTATGTGTACTTGTGCGTTCTCACGTGCTCGTGTACTCGTGAAACGTCATCAGCCTCAGTCTGAGAACTGCCCCAATTAAGAACAGCGTGTCCCGACCCGATCCGTCCCGGAAGCGCCCTCCGTTCCACGCCATCAGCTCTATCCAGATATACATCCAGGTTCCCCTCCATTTTTAGTTTGGTAAAAAGATCTAAATCACATTTTTCCCTCCCCAAAAATACTCAAATATAATTGGTTAAAGATTAATAATAGATTTCCTGAGAAATAAATGCCTTAAAATCCTTTCTGTTTTATCAGTCTGTGCTTTAGTTTGATGTTTTCATGCTAACATTATGCTATATAGCGCCTAATCTAAAGAAAGAAACATCTAGAATGCAGATAAAGATGATTTAATCAGATTTACTGCTCTGATCGTGTCACATGATGACGTCAGAGAAAAAACATTAAAATTGTCTCAGAAAAGTCATCAAACATTTTTTAAAGATGTGTATTAGCATTAAAGATAGAAATAACTTCTTAGATTTGTCATTTTGTTTAGACAGATGTAAAACAAAAAGAACTTTCATCTAGAACAATCTGGACAATTTAATTTTTTTTAAGTGCAGCCTTGAAAAAAAGTAAAAATGTATAAAAACAGTGATAAACATGACTGTAAATTTAGTTATTCTCGCCCCCCCCCCCCGACTGTGTTCACTATTATTCCCCCAATAAATGAAAAAGTCATAATTTATTATTATGTAGAGAGCATTAATAAGAGGAGGCGACATGCAGCTGCGGACGCGCTGCGTGCGGTGATGTCACGCGGCGGCTGATCGTCCTCCTCAGCGTGTTTGCTGAATGTCAGCGGCGTTCTGTTCATTAGCGAGCTCACGCCGCCGTCGGGGCAGCAGCTGCTTCTTCTGACTGATCTGCTGTGACAGTCGCACCGTCTGCCAGCATCCATCCCTCTGAGACCTGGAGAACGGATGCGCCGCCCGCCGCCATCCTAAGGTTGGCTCAGGTGTGGCGAAGCACGTTTATTTTCAGTGTTTTTAAACGTGTTTGTTTTCATCCTCCAGGAACGCTTTGCTGAAATCTTCGGAGGCGACGCAGCGGCTGAGAGCAGAAGGTCTCAGGAGAGCCTGAAGAACTGGCTGCTGCTGGGGATGAGCGTGGCGACCGCCCTCATAGCCGGCTCCATCTTCGCCCACAAACGCCTGTGAGAGGACGCCCCCTCCCACCGCCATCTATCACTATGGTGGACGTTAAAGGAGGGTCCTGATCATGATGTTTACCAGCGTCTCCTGCGGCGGACCGAGGAGCCGCAGATGTTGGCGGCTGACAGGAAATCGAAGTTGAAGTATTGATGTCGGGCGATGGTGGTTCTGCTGAGACTGAGCCGTTTGTTCCTTTATCCTCCATGTTCAGATTTATTAAAGATCTTATTTTCTGTCTTATTTTCTGAAGGTTTGAATCAGTTTAATTCATTTCTGTCTGAGGACAACAGGACTGTCCTGCTGGGACAACAGGACACCTGCTGGGACAGCAGCCCTGAACTCAGTGTTGTTCCTGCAGAGAGAAGCTTTGATTAGTGCCATATGAAGAAGCCCCCCGGCCCCCACCCACCCACCCGTCCGTCCTTTTATGGACTGAGAGCAGCGGCTCTAGGGGAAGCAGCTCTAGGAGCAGCAGTGTTGAAGACAGCAGGAACTACTGTAGCAGCACATGAACTGTAGAAGCCCAAAGGACGAGACGTGAAGCGGGTCGCTAACCGACCCGTCGCTATCCGACCCCGTCGCTAACCGACCCGTCGCTAACCGACCCGTCGCTAACCGACCCGTCGCTATCCGACCCCTCGCTAACCGACCCGTCGCTAACCGACCCGTCGCTAACCGACCCGTCGCTAACCGACCCGTCGCTAACCGACCCGTCGCTATCCGACCCCGTCGCTAACCGACCCGTCGCTAACCGACCCGTCGCTATCCGACCCGTCGCTAACCGACCCATCGCTATCCGACCCCGTCGCTAACCGACCCGTCGCTAACCGACCCGTCGCTAACCGACCCGTCGCTAACCGACCCGTCGCTATCCGACCCCGTCGCTAACCGACCCGTCGCTAACCGACCCGTCGCTAACCGACCCGTCGCTAACCGACCCCGTCGCTAACCGACCCCGTCGCTATCCGACCCCGTCGCTAACCGACCCCGTCGCTAACCGACCCGTCGCTAACCGACCCGTCGCTATCCGACCCCGTCGCTAACCGACCCGTCGCTATCCGACCCCGTCGCTAACCGACCCGTCGCTAACCGACCCGTCGCTATCCGACCCCGTCGCTAACCGACCCGTCGCTATCCGACCCCGTCGCTAACCGACCCGTCGCTATCCGACCCCTCGCTAACCGACCCGTCGCTATCCGACCCGTCGCTAACCGACCCGTCGCTATCCGACCCCGTCGCTAACCGACCCGTCGCTATCCGACCCGTCGCTATCCGACCCGTCGCTATCCGACCCCGTCGCTAACCGACCCGTCGCTATCCGACCCGTCGCTATCCGACCCGTCGCTATCCGACCCGTCGCTATCCGACCCGTCGCTAACCGACCCGTCGCTATCCGACCCCGTCGCTAACCGACCCGTCGCTATCCGAACCGTCGCTATCCGACCCGTCGCTAACCGACCCGTCGCTATCCGACCCCGTCGCTAACCGACCCGTCGCTATCCGACCAGTCGCTATCCGACCCCGTCGCTAACCGACCCGTCGCTATCCGACCCCGTCGCTAACCGACCCGTCGCTAACCGACCCGTCGCTATCCGACCCCGTCGCTAACCGACCCGTCGCTAACCGACCCGTCGCTATCCGACCCGTCGCTATCCGACCCGTCGCTATCCGACCCGTCGCTATCCGACCCGTCGCTATCCGACCCGTCGCTATCCGACCCGTCGCTATCCGACCCCGTCGCTAACCGACCCGTCGCTATCCGACCCGTCGCTATCCGACCCGTCGCTATCCGACCCCGTCGCTAACCGACCCGTCGCTATCCGACCAGTCGCTATCCGACCCCGTCGCTAACCGACCCCGTCGCTAACCGACCCCGTCGCTATCCGACCCGTCGCTAACCGACCCGTCGCTATCCGACCCGTCGCTATCCGACCCCGTCGCTAACCGACCCGTCGCTATCCGACCCGTCGCTATCCGACCCGTCGCTATCCGACCCCGTCGCTAACCGACCCGTCGCTATCCGACCCGTCGCTATCCGACCCCGTCGCTAACCGACCCGTCGCTATCCGACCCGTCGCTATCCGACCCCGTCGCTAACCGACCCGTCGCTATCCGACCCGTCGCTATCCGACCCGTCGCTATCCGACCCCGTCGCTAACCGACCCGTCGCTATCCGACCCGTCGCTATCCGACCCCGTCGCTAACCGACCCGTCGCTATCCGACCCGTCGCTATCCGACCCCGTCGCTAAGTGAATCTGATTTCAGGACGTTGGCTCTGAAACCTTCTGATTAATGGAAGCCTTGTTCCTTCAGCGCCTCCTGGCTGCTGCTGCACTCCTCGCCTCCCTTTACTCCTGGGTCTGTTTGCTTTACGTCTCTCCTGTCCTCCATGGAGAACATCGGTCCGTCTGTGGCCTGGTCCTCAGGAGGAGCCGCTCTTCGCTTCCTGTATCCTGCAGAGCTGCAGTCTGGTTGAGAGGAAGCTGCTGCTGAAGCTCAAAGCGAGCAGAAGACGGACGCTGATGGTCGAACCAGATGATGCCATCAGGGTTTGACTGTGGAGCTTCACTCGGACCCGTTTACGTAGCAAATAGATCAATCAGCTGCTCTGACCTCCATGTTTGACGTCTCGTTCATCAGTAGACTTGGAACCGTTACCACAGTCCTCCCCTGGCGTCTGGAATCTGTCAGATCTCCAGCCGTCTCTCCTCCTCCTCCCTGGCTCCCACTGCTGTCACTGCAGCTCCTCACATGCGTCACTCACAGCCCCCCCCCCCTCCTGATCTGCATCATTTTATCAAACATCTCAAAGAGGAAAGTAGATTTTAGATGTTGGAGATGCTCCGTCCTCCTTAACAGGGTCTGCTGTCTACATTCCAGTCCACTATATCTATAGAGCTATTTTTCTAGTGTGTGCTCGTTGGTTCTGGACATCTCTGAAGGAGGTGTTACGGCGCCGGCCCCCCCCATCCGTCTGTCCATATGCTTGTTATTTAAACTGATTAGAGTAGCGGGTTAGCTTAGCCACATATTTAAATCCAGAGCGTAACTGATGGCTTTTTAAAACTAATTTATATTTAATGTGAAAAGCATTTTGTTTCCCTGAATCTGCCTTCATCCTCCAGCCGCAGTGTCCAGACTCTGGTCCAGATGTGGTTCTGGAGCTCTGGGTGATCGGGCCCAATGGACAGAGAGTTCCTGTTTATGTCCAACCGTCTCTTAGTGTGTCTTTAGATTGTAAACTTTGAAGTGACACTGAAGCCAATAAAGCGTCTTTAAAGGAGATCCAGTTTTCTTTGTCATTCCTGCAGACTTGATGCTTTTTCCACTGATCTGATAAAATGTCTCATTTTTCCATCAACATCGTCTCCCAGTTTACCGGGAGTTTGCTCCATTCCTCCTGCCTGAACTGGTGGAGAGATCCAGACTGGTTCCTGCTGAAGTTCATCCCACTGAAAGAAGAGAGAGACTGTTGAGTCCATCGGCTGCTTTTCCTTAGATGGAAAAGCAGCCGATGGACGATCAATTGGACTGTATGATCTGGTTGAACTGTAAAGTGAGATGACGTGTTGTGAATTTGGCGCTATATAAATAAACTGAATTGAAAACATCAACCTGTTGGCTGAAGCTGAGGAGCAGCTTCGTCGTCCTGGAAACCAGACTGGAGCACAGACCACTAATCACTATTTATTCCCTGGATTGATGATTGCTCTAAATAAGTGTAGCCGCCGTCCGCCATGTTGGTACTCCCTGCTCCCACAGAGACATGCAGAAAAATCCCCCCCCCCCCCCTGTGCAGCATCTGGCTGCTAAAACCAGCAGTTTTCTGTCTGCAGGAAGACGTTCCACTGGTAATTTCCCAGTCAGTGGATGAACTAAGCAATAAATCCATCTATTGCCGATGGATCCTATAGTTTAGTCTGCAGACTAACATTAGTCTGGCTATCTCAGACTGACTGGAAGACACTGACTGAGTTAGACACTGACATTGGGTCTGAGGTTAGAAAATAGAAAGTAATTCACTGGGAAATGTTAATGTAGTCATTCTTAATTAAATGACTGATTCTGTCGTTTTTGGAGAGTTTGGTTTATTTCTCATTAGAAAAATTAATGAGCTGAAAGATATTACAGGTTATATTGATTGAAAAAACATTTGACCAATATATCAACTTAGGTTTTTTTGCCACATCTGTATTATTATGCTCCATTAACACATTAATTTATTGTATAAAATGCAGCGGTGTCAAAAGTTCCCACATTTGTTACTTCAGTAGAAGTATAGATCATGCAGTTTAAAAACACTCTGGTAAAAGTTTAACTATCAACTTGACCTCTTTACTCAAGAAAAAGTGAAAAAGTATGTGCTCCAAAAACTACTGAAAGTATAAAACTATAAAGTAACCTTTAATAAAACCATCCAGATGCCGCTATATGAACTGAAAGCTCTATTTCTATAATCCTCTGAGATAGGGCCGAGGATGAGGGAGGTCTGGTTGGTCTCCGTCTCCCGATACGCTCTCGCCTGTGTCCGACCTTTCAGACATTTCAGCATCTTTTTCTGAATCCCACATTGTAGCATGGCATAGACAATTCACGTTAGCAGTTTGAAGAACACCTGCTGGCTTCTGATGATTTCCTTTAGCTAACCAATGAGTGTTTGCCTTCTATGACTCATCCAATCACACTAGTTTTCACTAGATGTGGGTGGAGCCAATGATCTGCATTGGATGGAGCTCATGACGGGAAATAAAGATTTAGAAACATTAAACCGAAGCCAAGAGTAACGAGTAACGATTGATTTAAAAATGTAAGGAATAGAAAGAACAGATACTGGTGTGAAAATGGAATGAGTAGAAGAAGAAGGAGGAAGAAATGAAGTAATGAAGTAAAGTATAGATACCTAAAAAGTGTACTTTAGTACAGTAATGAAGTATTTGTACTTTGTTACTTAACACCATGTTATATTACATGATTAATGGACGTCATAGTGACTCTGCAATGTGATTGGCCGATTGTTTTATTCTAAGTTAAAGTTAATCTACTGATGCTGTGAAACAGCCAGTCTGTGTTAAACTGATGAATTTATCTTTATTTTAAAAGTCTTTAGCTGAAAATGAGAACATGGTTGTTTGATGCTGTAGAGTACAGATTGTTTACATTGAGACCGGTCTAACTAGGGAGTACCAATATGGCGGCTGGTGGCTTCACTTTAACCCCGTACTGCCAAAGAGCAATCAGCAATGCAGGG